GGAAAACACAACCTAACACAAAAAACCATCATCTGCCACCATTTTCAACTTGCCCGCTCTCTGTACAAACCTTCCCGCCATTCTCAACAGCAATCAGCTCGTTATACATTTTCAAAACCGCCCGTGAAAATTCGCTCATACTATCAAAAACCCTACAAAACCCCGTCTGAAAACCGTTCAGTGTGAGCCTCTCAGTTTCCTGCATGCACTTAACATGCTTCTCCTTCTCCAGCTCAACCTTTCTCCTAAACTCCTCCACAGTATCCTTACAATCGGGCCAAGACCCGGCCCGATCCTCCTCCTCCTCTCCAAGCCCATTACTACTCCCATCAGTCAGCCTCAAATGAAAAAACACCCTACCACTCTCAGCCTTCTGAAAAGCTGAAATCTTTCGTTCAAACTCTTTGGACAACCCATCAACTTTCCTCTTCTGCATTTGCTCCTCTCCTTGTTGGGCCCACAAGGCCCGAACATCCTTAGCACAGACTCTTATCGCAAGCGAAACCGATCTATCCGGAAGATTACTCACAAAATCCAGCCAGTCGTGGCAAATGCCGAGGAGGTGGGGCCCGCCCGAGAGACGCGGAGGAGGGGAATGGGCCCGAGAGCAGTATTTGACTTCAGGGCCCACGAATTTGGAGAGCCATCTGTAAAGGGCCTCGATGTATCTCCTTTGGGCCTGGACATACACGTTGAAACACGAGCGCCAGTTGAGGAGCTCGGTTTCGAGCTGGAGGGTCGCGAGACGGTGAGACTCGTTGCAGAATTTACGGTACGAAGGGCATGTGAAGGTTTTTACTTCGAATATGATCTTGTTCTGAATCTCGTGGGATTCGAGTATGGTTTTCCAAGTCCTTGTCAACCTGTGTTTGAATATATATGAGAAACATTTTTTTCCAGNAACTCAATCTATACTCAATTCATGCTCAAAATCTAACTCAACTCCATTATTTTTAATATTATCAATATAATTAAATAAAACCACCCAATCATTCTAGCACGTCACATCAACTTTAATTTACTATTCATCTACTCACATAATTTTAACTATCACTTTACATCATCTTTCTCATACTTTTAAATCCAATCAGCTTTAATTATTTTATGTTAAATATTATTTGAATATAAAATTAAAATATCACTAACAACTAACCATACCATTTTTTTTCAAAATTAACTCTGTATAACCAAAAAAAACTAATTTTGAACGGACAAACACGCCCTAAAAGGGAAGAACTCAAATTTACCCTTGAAGCAATTCCTTTATTTGAGGCTCAAGCTCTTCATCTCTTAGCTTTTCAATTTTGTTTGATATTGTCTCGGCACTACGGATTGCCACAAGGATCCTGCTGTAAAGATCCTTAACTGCAGCTCGGCTTTTGTCGACTGTAAGTTCTTCATCTCCTCTTACATCTTGATTCCTAAGATGATTGCATTTCCTCTCATAAATCCTTCTGATCTCATCTCCTTCCTAGATTGTCAAAACACACACACACAAAAGATTAAAGGCTGGAATTTTGTACTTCAAAACTTACATTTAAGTAATACAAAAGACAATAAGCAACATATTTTTTGAGGG